ACGGATAGCTTGAAAAGAATCGGTGCCCCGAAGATCTTCGTTGAAAGGCGATGAATGGTCGTCTTCTCGCCATGCGATCCTCGGTGACCGATCTTGGGTGAGAATCGAGTCACCTGGTCTCTCTGTAATAGAGAGGCTCGATGGCTCTGAATAGAAAACCAGAGTCCTTTTAGCTTTCTCCAGAATTACTAGGTACGCTTGAGCCCTTAGCTACCACGCACAGCACAGCTCTCGACCATGCCTCTCGTACCAGAAGAAATCTCGTTCTCAGGCAAGTACGCACACCTCTGCATCCTCTAATCTCTCCTGCTGACAGCGCTACACAGACTACCTAGGCCTTAATGCCGCACTCTTCGAATGGGCGGAAAGCTATGACTCCAAAGTTCGTCTCCCTCTCCATGTGCTCTACAAACCCACTGACCCATTTACCAGAACTGGGCCCGCCTCCGCGCCTGCGTCGCCCCAACCATGCGTATCGACTACCGCTCCTTCCTTGACAAACTCTGGGAAGCCCTTCCCGCAGACGAATACGTAGCCATGGCCTCCGACCCACACGTTCTCGGTGATCCTCTGCTCAAAACCCAGCATTTCATCGGCTCTTCGAAATGGGAAAAAGTGTCAGATACCGAAGCCATCGGATGGCATCAGTTGCGGGTTCCGCATCAAAGATACACAGATGAGACGAAGACCGCGGTCGCAGTGAAGGGCCATGCACACGGCACGAACCAGCATTGGTACAAGAAGGTAGATGGAAACTGGAAGTTCGCTGGACTGGCGGTGGAAATCAAGTGGGGCGAGTTTGATCTGGATAAAGTATTTGCGAGTGGCAGGGATACGTTTGGGGAGTCGGAGAAGGAGAAGATGATGGATGAGGCGGCCGTCATGACTGGGATTCCAGGAGACGCTGCCGACCCACCAACTCCTGAGTCAATGGACATGGAGACGAAGCCTGTCGCTGCTCAAGGGGCCGCGGAGCCTACTATGGAGCAGGCTTCATATCCTAGTGTGATTGGCAATACGAGTGGGATGAGAGACTTGGCTGAGTCGGCGAAGACGCCTATGGCTTATGAAGATCAGGTTGAAGGAAGTATGGTCGGGGCGCCCATGGTCTACGAAGGTGAGATGAAGGGAGGTATGGTTGCGGTATGAAGGGTGTGTCTACTTGTCTGAGCGTAATCTACACCCACGATCACAATGAAAGCCTCTTCCCAACACCGTCGAGGCTCCATAACTCCTCGCGCCTAATGTCTAGAGCGTTTAGTTTGATTCTCCGCCAGTCGCTCAAACACGCTGATTGCATGAAACTGTCATCATCCCAGTAATATCCCGCTGTGAAAATATCCCTTCGGCATGATTGATGACCGATCATGGGCCAAATGATACGCCACCGCCGTCCTCGTCACCAGCTGCGGCAATTTTAAATCACCGCGTGGGCAAGTCTAGTTCTAACCCTGCCACAGAGCCGACAACGACCTCCCCCCTCAACCCACCACTCCTCCACGCACGAACTTCTCCGTGCTCCGGAGACTCAAAAAGCCAGCGTTAGTGATGATCACGGATAACGTGGTGTCGTTGCCGCGCGTAACGTACCTTACATTACATTATACATTTCCAGGCGACCGAGACCTGCATATTCCCCCGGCCGGCCACGTCTTGCACTAGCGGGACGAATCCTTCAACGCCGTGAAGGCCTTCTTTTTCAATGGATGATAAATAACAAGAGAACGTCATCTGGAAATCCCTTCAGGTCTCTCCTGTCGTTCACGTCAACAAGGGATCTCCGACCAGGAGCGTGCCGGCCCGGACATATTCGCTTCGGTTGTCCCGAAACGGCAATGCGTCAACAGGAACGTTGAGGTGATAGGTAACCGTAGCGGACCAGTGTTGGCATGATGATCATAGACTAGGGGACTGGGTGCGAGTATGCAGGTCATGGTCGATCGTTTGCAATCTAGCTCGGAAAGACGATGTGCCTCCAATGCAGGTACCCGTGCCTAATGTTCAAAGGCGCGCGAATCGAGTCCACCCGTGGTGAAATCGTGTGCATCATATTCTTGCTCTTTGCAACGGTATCCGAGCTCTGCATGTTCGACCATTGCATCATATGCTCCAATTTTATAGATATCGGGGATATATATATCCGATTCTTCTCCCGTGCAAGCACACTCATCCCGCAAACCCCACAACTCCACACGCAGGGCCGAATCAACCCCACCCTAACCACTCTTACTACCACTCTTACTACCACCCCATCCCCCAGAATCAAAATGCGTACCTCAATCCTCCTCGCAACCCTCGCCTCCATCCCCTCCCTCCTCGCTCTCCGAGCACCAAGTCTCTATCCCCGCACCTACACAGACATCAGCGCGAACGCCAGCTACTGCCCCGGACACCCGGCGCCCGAATACATCCAACGCCAAATCTTCGACGGCTTCGTCAACCAGCTCTACGGCGAAAAAGACGTCATTGGCGCTTTCAACAAGTACATCGCTCTCAACCTGACCGAGCACGACCCCTTTGATGCGCAGGGCAGAATTGCGAACGAGGAGAAGTTGTCGTACAGTGAGTGAAAGAATCCTGCATCCTACCTCGCCTGACAAAAAATTGTGGATGTCCGAATGGCGCGGAAACTGGAAAGGCTGACTCGGAGTTCTATTTGCAGTTATTCCTTATGTGCCCTCCATAGTCCTCCGCCACAGCTTCGACAACAACATCGGCTTCATCCACGTGCGTGTCAACGAGGCGAACGAGGAGCCAATTGCGCTGGCGGACATCTACAGGATGGATGGGACGTGCCTTGTTGAGCACTGGGACGTGACGCAGTCGAGGCCCGCCAACGCCACGAACCCTATTGCGATGTTCTAGGGACGGCTGAAAGGAGACAGGACGGGACGAGGGGATGAAAATGACGATGTGGCATTTGCGGAAAGTAATGAGATTGTGACAGGCGTACGGACTGGAAGATCTTTTGAAAACGATGATAGAGACAATCGTAGAAGTACATAGGCAATGAAGAAACATACTTTGCCCTATGGCATGTCGCAAGGCGCCAGAACGAGAGAGAAGCCAACCTTGACATTTTCAACCGCATCGTTCTCAGTACCCTCCCCCACCTGCACTAAACCCCTTTGAACTCGCTGCAGCACCAATTTTCGGTTAATTACTTCTACTCCTCCTTCTCCTCGCCTCCAGCATCGTTAGTCCGGTCACGACAACCTCGTCCGCCAAAACCCCACTCACGAATGGTACTAATTCAAACTTTCCATCCTTCTGTAACGCCCACATGCTATTCTCATACCTTGCACACACCTTATCGTGTTGATCCAAACATATCATGTCGCCCCCGTTAAAGAGGTTGTCCGACTTCCACTTAAAGCACATCCTTCTCCCATCTGTTGTAGTGGCCAAACTGGTCCATTCGTGAGCGCTAGTAAAGATGCTCGAGGCAGAGAGGGCAATGGGGTTGTTGTGGATAACCATCTCAATGTCTCTGGAGGAGGAGTGGAAGGTGGCCGTACCGACAACGGTACCGGTGTTGGCTTTGTAGACTGTTACATGTGGCATGGAGCCAAAGAGACCTCCGGCATTCATTTTAACCGTGTAAAGGACGGTAACTTTGTCGGGGCCGAGAATTTGGGTATTGTGGTGCGTCATACCTGAATGGTAGACGTGCAGGAGACGGGAGGATGAGGGTGGATCGGCTGATGCTGTGTACGAGGGAGGAGCTGCTGTCGAGGCAGGGCTGAAGGTATAGGGAGGAGCGCCCGTGGAAGGAAGGGGTGCTGTGTAGCCAGGGTTTTCTGTGTATGGCGGCGTTCTTTCATAGGGGATAGCTGGCTGCGCTTGAGGAACGGCTTGTCCCCTGATGTTGTTGGGGTACAAAGAGGGAGGGCTTCCTGTGTGGGGAAGAGCTGGCTGTCCATAGGGAACAATTTGGCCTCTCATGTTGTTAGGATACCGAGTGGGTGGAAGTCCTGTAGATGGTAGTTCTTTGGTGACGGCTTGCGACATGGTGTTGCAGAAAAGCTTCAGATTAAGGATACTAATTGTAGAGAAGAGAAGTTTGAGGTTAGTTGCGACGAGAAGCGAAACGACGTTTCATGCATGCATGCATGGAAGGGATGAAAGAGAAGGAGCGACGGCTCTAGGATCTGAAGCAGGTATGAACCGTTGGAAGGATTGAGCGCATTACTCTCATCAGCGACCCGAAAAAGGAATGCTATCGTAAGACTTGGGACTATGCTGTGGTGCCGTTGCGGGGCTCCGCAGGCGCAGATCCTCGGATGTGGAGGCGCAGTCCAAACTGCAAAAGTCCTCTGATTGAGCGATGAGCATCGAAAACACCTCACTCACATCACATGTTTGTACTCCATCAATGGTGACTACAACAATGCAACGTGAGCGTGGTACTAACTGAAGATGCACTCAACCCGTTTGATCCCTGCCTAGCGAGAGAGATGAGTCTCGGAGTTCCTGCGCAAACTGTGGAAATCCTTCGAGGCAACTTAGCCGGACCAATCCCAGCCACAGCGCCTACAACAGTAGGTAGATGAGATGCTGAGACTCGGTCTTTCTGCTCTTGTTCTGCACTGATATTAAGCAACGACAATGAAAGCACGGAATGCGAGAACCCCAGTACCTGGCAGTATCTGGGAGCGCGCAAATCAAGTAGAGAGTATTATGCAATCTGCTGCCTCGTCAGTCCTGACAAATGCCATGAGGCAGCGATTGAGGTCGCATATTCGATTGGCGACTGCCTCCACTGCTCACACCGTCTAAATAGGTCGTATCTCAAGCCTAGAGCAGCGTTGGCTCGTTCTCGAGAAAATAGATTCTAACTACGTTGCGTGATTTCTGGCGACAGCAGAATTGGCGCACATCTATTTCACGACCACCATGCATGCCATATGTGGCAACATTTGTGCTTCTCTCTCTCTTTCTCTGCTTTCGAGCCTTCGCATAATTGAAGATCTACTGCTTATACTGCATTTGAGCCTTCAATGCTATCTCGCGCTTTGATCATCTGCTTCGCCTTTTCTCTACTAGTCACTACATTTGCCATCCCTACAGAACGCATTCCAACTGTTGGAACGTCAAAGGATGCAAACCCATCGACCTTCTCACCTCCAACCTTATCAATAGTCATTCCGACAAACAACCTCACGATCACCGCGACCTGGCGCCCAGTATGTATACCCGAACACCCGGGCCGGGACCCCACAAAAGAAGCCAGCCGGATCACTCACCCAGCGGACTGCTATCAGGCCGTCCACAACATGTTCATCGAAGGATCTGACCGCGAGCTACTGGTGTGGGATAGGCAACGAATATGGGAATATGGAAGCTGTGGCCTGTGGCTTGTGGCCATGCAGGGGCTGCCAATTCACCGTGACACTTTCTCTAGAAGTGAAATTGCATATTCTGCAGAGAGCGTTCGGCAGGAATGTGTGAATGCAGAACACGGATATAGAGGGGGACTCGTACGGATAGCCGCGGGCGTCTTTCAAGTCGGGATATCTGGACCAGTCGAGCCATCGTTAGGGAAGTGGAAGGAGGGCACCATGTTGAATGCGACAGCTTCGGAGAAGAGAGCTGAAACCCTCTCAGTGGAACCTCTTGGGTCCAGCGGTCTTGCCAAAAAAAATCAAGATGAGGACAGCGAAGTGGAAGAGGCGGAATTGTAAACAATGCTTTTTCGCTGCTTCAGAATTGCCGGTACGGTTGCTGCTCTGTACGAAAATTTTCGATTCAACTCAATTCCGGCCAAGCTTTCAATTTTATCCGGCTGCGGAGATCCTCACTTCCCTTTTAAATCATTGACATCCAGATGTCTTATATGCATTCTCCGTATCGTACTGCTGGTTCTGGGCAATGCAATCTGCGCCGGCAGAACCCGACCGTAGAGCAACACAGCCACGTGAAAACAAACATACTCTTGCTTAAAGCTCGTTGCTGATATTCAAACACTACGAAAGATAGCGCTCGTATGTTTTCCCAAGGAACAAGTCCCATGTCCTCGCCAACTTCCCGACTTTCTCTCTTCATATCGGGCAGCCTATTTAATCCACGAATCTTGTCGTCTCTCGATCACTACACATGGAAATGGAAATGCAGGTCCACTTCTACATTACCGTTGGTGGTGCCTGGGAATCAGTGAGCAATAACGCCCACATACCCACTCCCGAAGACCGAGAGACAGAGAAGACGCACCAAGTCCCGTTGCGTTCCCAGTATATCCTCCCTTCACATACCTGGATACGATCACATCTGTTTCTTCCAAGAATAGTCATCAACTCATCGATTCCGTTGATCCATTGTCGAAAACTTGCACAACACTCTATCATGCCCTGTTCACTCACCAGATCAATCATCTTGTAACCTCACAAAGCCGATCACCACCACGAGAACTGTACATCTACCACCAAGGAACCCACTGGGCGACCCGACCGCAACCCCTGGAGTTGAGGGCGGTCCCAAAACACGTGCTGCTTGCGTCGGATCCGTATCTTCCACAAAAGCACCGCAGCGATGGCGGATTTAACCCCTGCTGGCGACCGTAGGCGAAGGATCAGATGCTTGCGGGCAGACAGAATCGGGACAACGGTTGGATTTCATCACGATGGCGAGGTGGTTATCCCCTCCTGTTATCATCAGCTCCTCGTCGACCTAGAGCCCCTTACTGTTCGAACGCACCGTTCTTCCATGTGCTTAGACCTCACTATCGATGGGACGCTCGTATCTCTGAACACAGCTGCTCAGTTAGTGGTTGGCTCGAAAAGAATTCCGCTCAAAAGCGGGAGCGCGGGCTCAAATTGGCAGACTGCAGACTTAGTTGGTATAACAATGGGAGAATTTGGGTCGGGAGGATTGTTTGGACCCTCTACTACCAGCTTGCCATCGCCAAGACAAGGTAGTCATTCAATAGGGGCTGTCAATGGTACGAGTAGCGGTGTGCAAGACTTTGAAGGTGATTCCGCGCGTTTAAAAGGCCACTTCCTGTGGAGTAGGACGGCTGTGTCAATATTTGCAATGCCTGTTCTGGCATTTGTATACTAGATATTGATTTGTACGTCGCTATTTCCTACCCTTATAGATCCTCGTAGCAAAGCAGCCTATCGACATTATCAGCCCGTAACGCTGCATCAAGGGTACAACAAGCGTAGATTGCGGACAAGATCCTTATGCGAGGCTAGAACCATCATACTCCTCGTCAGATCCGCCTCTCTTTGATCACAACTGAACACAGACTCCACGACTCATGTCTTCGCACGTGGTACCATAGCGCAAAGTCACGAGACTGTTGACAGGTGCAGAACTAGCACAAGCGTTGACGATTACGAGCAATCTAGAGCAGTATGTTCCTCATTCGAACCGTGGTCTTACCTCCAAGCTAGATTTCCAGTACAACAGAACCTGCACCCATTCACGAAATTGGCAAGGTTTGAATTGACATCCTCACTAGACGCATCGTTGCTGCTTGAAAGATGTTGCACAGCTTCTTCGAATTTTTGCACACTCTCGAATAACATATCAGTCACTTGGTTGACGCCAAACAGTGCAAAGTCTGCAGCTTTTAGGGACTTATGAGATCTGCTGTGGCCCTTCGCGCTATCAATCCGTATCAGTCCTTTCAGCCGGTTATTATGACTTCTCTGTAGACAGGAATCGCACCGTACCTCTCAAGCCAAGCTTCCACATCCCGGTGTAGCGTGTCAAGGTAGGGATTGATCCTGCGAGGCCAACCACTGAGCTTCGCCTTCAGGTCGGCTATGGCGATTTTCTGGCTCCGTAATGAAGCTAGAACCGCCTCTCGGTCGTACGGACTCATATTTAAGGAAATGTCAAAGATTTGCTAAAGATGTTGAAGATTAATTCCACTGTGGGAAAGCGGATTCTAGATTTGCGAACTGTTGCTAGGGGCACGTTAGCATACAATGGCATAAATAATTCTCCCTGATACATGCCAAAGTTGCTGTGCTTTCAGGCAATCCTGCAGAAAATGGGGTCTGATAATTCAATAAGTGTTAGAGGTTTTCTTCGATGCGTTTCCAAGACAGTCCAGGTCCATCCACTACTTGAATGATTAAAAAGTGTTAAATATGTTCTTCGATGCAGGTTTAATTTGCCATGTGTTATAGCTATTATGCAGAAAATGGCTCTGACTGCTCCTTTCAGAGTTGAAAAATGCTTAAGAATCTCTTCGGTGCAAGTTGAAGTTGCTATGTGTCAAAGCACTTTCGCAGAATAAACGACTCGAACGCTGCTTTGAGAGTTGGAAAATGTTAAAGATATGCATGCTAGAGTTGCTACGTGTTAATGTAATTAGGCAGTTAACGGGGCCAACTGCTGCTTTCGAGAATTGAAAAGTGTTAAGAAATTCTTCGCTGTAGGTCAGAATCTCTGCTCCTTTGTTTCTTTGACCTGTTCGGTAGGGTCATTTTTTAGGTATCTAGTAGAGAGGGCGACAAGAGTCCGCTTTTGTAAAGACAAAAGACTTCTAACCTCCAAAATGTGAAGATTTGCTCGCATGTACAATCGCCTGCAGCTCGTGAAATCCTCCGTCGTCGCGTTCGGCTCTGGCGGTTCCGGATTTCCATCATCATCATTGCCCGATCTACGAGGATACCCCGAATGCCTGATGCAACTGGGACACCAATCTTTGTTCGTCGGGTTGCAGTTGGCCTTTCAAAAAAGGGATAAAGAGGCTCCGTTGCTGGATCGGACTTGGCCGACGCTGTTCAGCTGGCGGCGGTGGAAGAGAGGCCATGACTTCTGAACCGTAGCCGAGAGCGGCAATATATAAATGAAACCGGTCGTCTGCGTGTTAATGGCAACACGGTGAATGCAGTCAGTGATACACATCCTCTTCTGAAAGCCCACGTTCTCAACTCGAGATGAATGCTCCGTACGCTCCCTTTGGCGCTGAACCAATCGGTTTCAGGGTCCCAGTGGATGGTGCAGGGCAGGATTGTGTCCTACTACATGGCCAGTCTACCAACCACTCGAGGGAGCATCGCGCCCGAATCCACAGATCCGAATATCCCACCTGTTATCGACCCGAAACTGTGCCGCAGAATCTGACCGTTTTACCATGCGCGGGGGATGTCGCGTGCAATCACGGCCGGTGCTCGGAATACGAGAAGGCAAAGAATTGGTAGGGGGCGAGACCCTATCAAAAGGGCACAAGTGTCTGCCGTCCGCTCTGTCAAATGAATAGATCGATGTGGGCTGGAAGCTCGATGGTATCAGTTGTACGCATGGGGCCGCTTCGTGTAGTATGGGAAAGATGGCTGATGCCGGACCTAAAGTCTTTGGCTGGGGTTTGTGGATGCGGTTGTGATCCAGGCCGTTGGCGCCGCACCGTCAGATTCCAGTATTTGCGCTTGCTGAGCAGGCTGTCGACATAGTTTTCGCTAAAAATGGATCTCAGAGTGAGTCTGTCGTGGTCCTCAGAGCCACTGGCAGCTACCGCTCTTCGTGTCACGAGTGAGACTGCGGAACGGACGATATTATTCAGGCGAAGTCTTAAGATTGTATATAGGATAGACGACAGGAGATACATAGACATTCAAGGTTCACGGTTTAAACACTCCCGAGGAACCTTGCATGAGAATTTGGTCTTTACTTCCGTTTCCATCTTAGAAAAACGAGAACAGCTTTGCAGACATACGAAATCCTTACGCCGAACGCACTGCTATTCGATCGCTTGACCGTAGGCAACGACGATTGGGGTTTTAGCATAGTGCCCGCTTTGTACAGATATAGCTCTTAGAGGTAGGTCCAACTTACAGAAGGAAGAACAAGGTAACGACAGCTCTAGGATATGAAGTACAGCCCCTGAAAGTATCAAGACCGTAGCAGCCCTCTACGGTGGGAGAAGCTCACGGTGGCGACGCTGACGCTGCTGTAACGATGCTCGCTGTCCTACAGCCGCCGATTGGGAGGCGCAATCCAATCTTGGGCAAGGCTTGCACACCTCGTATCTTATCTAGGCAACAATACTTCCCAGTGGTTGCATACAGGGTTGTGCTTGCTACAGGTTATGTTGTAGAATTGACCCGACGTGAATGGAAATTGAGTTAGCTCGTTCCCCAGAACAGATTAGCCGAGGATTGCCCGGAAAATTTTCTTTGTGCCCCTCTGCTAGCATCTCTTTCTCTTTATCATCTCCAGTCATCCCAGCAACAGCAACGAAGAACCTGGCATATCTAGATAAACTAAATCTATGAGATTCTCATACCTACTAGTTGTCCAGCACTCAAGATCGAGTAGGAAATTAGAATCTCAAGTTGAAAACGCGAGGCCAGATGTGGCCGCGAGCGGTGACCAATGCATGTTTCGGTCACTCCATGATTCTTACGCCAGATTGATTGAGTTTCATTGCAGCGCGCTCACACCAATCTAGCGGCGCATTTAAGCGCTGACGTGCGGTCTCGCTAATCTCACGTCGAATCGGTAACCATACGAGTAAATCGATGATGATTATCACGAACAATGCCCTTGCCCCAGTGCCATCTATCTCGGTAGGCTCAAAGTGGCTCCGCGGTTCTGCCACCGATGGAACCCGTCGAATGTCTGGATACAACGCATACGTCTGAGACTTCTGCTGTGGCTGCGCAAGGTAGGGAGATTGCTTCTTGACTATTCCTCGCGCCGCGGCGGATGAGACCAATTTGCTTGACCGATTGACCGCATTGCCTGTTCGTTCAATGACCATGCCAAAGGAAAGCCTTTATACTATCTACATGAGGAAGCGGACTTGCTTCAGTCATTACAATATGGATCCTTGGCCTAGTTTAGGGATCGACGAGATCACCGAAACCTGCATGACCGAATGCGGATAGCTTCAAAATCCGCGCAACGAGGAATTCGGTCATCGAGAATTATCCCACGGGTCTAACGCAATATTCCGTTGTAGGGAGCACGAAATTCACGTTGCAGTTCGTACCTGCGTAATCATCACTAGACATGAAATCAAACCGTCCTTCGGTGAGCGTTGCTGCACGTATAACACCAGCATTAAATAGCCATGCGCATCTTCGCGTTCCTGTGTTCTTAACCCTTTGACACACATTGCTGCACTTTGGGTGCACGCCGTTTCCTTCTCTACCTTCGAAAACCCGCTCACTCTAATTCAAAACCGCAACTACAATGCTTTCCTTAATCGCCGCAGCGGTGTGTCTCATCGGCAGCGTCCTGACCCAAACACCCCCCAGCTATACATTAGCCGTCACCAACCAGACGTTAGGCCTATCATACGGCAGTGTCTCCGTAGAAGCCGGCGAGACTCTCCCCTACAAAGGTCAGCACCCCCCCTCCCATTCCCATTCCCATTCCCATTCCCATTTCCACTTCCCTACTAACCCTCAAACCCAGTCCCCTCAACCACCCCCACCCTCAGCAGCACCCTCCCCCTCAACGAAACCTACATCGCCATCATAGTCGACACGACCGCAAACCTCAGCTCCCCAATTCCCGCCGACCTCGTCTGGTTCCAACAAGACGTCACCTTCTCCTCCGCCGGCATCGGCAGCGCAAACACCAGCGCCCAAGTCCCCTACGTCGCCCCTTCGTCCGTCGGCCACGCCTACCTCGCCCTCCTCTACACGCAACCGCCCGGCTTCATCATCCCGTCCAATTTCCCCTACAACGACACCTTCCGCGTCGCGTTCAACGTGAGCAGGGTGGCGGTGGATTTCCACTCCCCGCTGCTCGCGGCCAACTGGTTCGTCCTCGGGAGCAATTGTTCGGCGCCGAGTTACACGGCGTCCTCCGGGTATGGATATGGGGCGAGCACGGGGTTCGCGTCCGGGACGCACGGGCCGTGGGCGAAGAAGACGGGGGCGGTGTATGCTAATGGGGCTGCGGGGAGGTATTGAAGGTGATGATTGCGGGAGGAGAGGTCTGAGGATCGGGGTAATGAATGGAAACAGTAGAGTGTGCAAAAAGGCGTTGGTGTGCCTAAAGGAGATAGAGCAAAGGACATACACCATGTCCCAGTCTTGGCACTGAAAATCAATAGACCTGAGCTTTTGCAATACTACCTAAGCCATCTGCTCTGATCCGGAGTACTCTGGTGACTAAGAGACGCGCTCCGCATGTCTAACATCCAATCCTGAACCCCAATGCCTCCGTCACCCTACCCTACACACCCTCATCCCGGCCGAATATCTTCCCACCTCATCTGAGCTCCACAGCGTTCCTCCCGAATTCAACACCGACAGCACTCAAACCCCTTTCTCAAACAGGCGTAGCGCTCAGTCCCGACCAACGAAATTGATTACAAGACCGTAAGATTCGACACAGGCGATTGGACAGATAACAGTCACGCCATCGAAGTATTAATTGCAGTCGTCAACGGCATATACAACAACAACGAGTCACAAGCCAAAACGGAGAATCTCATCCTTACAACTCCAGAAATACCGACATCCGACACAGTGGTGGTGGTCAGGAGTACCCTGTCATGGAATTCATCAAGAGTGACACGTTTTCCGACACGGAGGTCTGAGTGACTGACTACCTTACATAACACGTGTCGTGTCGGTCGCGGAGCCCGCCAACGGTTTGCACAGAAGGCCTACAGGTTCACTCTTGTCTAGGAAAGGAGAAGGCTTCGGTATATGAGATTTGTGTTCGCGTTCGGGGTAGGTGATGGAGGAGGAGGCGGCACGGCAGCCTCGTGCCGGGGTCATTTGGTTGGTCGAGGTGGGTAGGGAGGTAGGTAGGTATGGAGGGGGTGAGCGGAGCATATCTTCTTTTCACCGCGTAAGAGGCGGTGAATCGTAAATGGACATGCGTCCATCCATACATACATCTATCTAACTATCGGCGCACCCGAATGATGTACTCGAGAACGATAGCTTGACGGCGAGCTATGTGAAAGAAAGAAGCGAAAGTGTGAAGGGAGTACGGGAACCAACATGCATGCACACCAAGCTGCTCCTCTCGGCTGGGTAGACCTCATGCTTGCATCCCACATGCAACGTTAGAAAGGTTCTGGGTTACATTGAGCATATAGATAGGCACAGGCAGAGAGGCCAGACGACGGAACCATCGTCTCACGTAGAGAAATCACAAGTCAACATCCCCGGGGCGCCATTCCCCGGCGACCCCAACTCCTTCGCCTTTTCAATGTCATTCACTGCGTTATCCGCCTTATCCGCCGCCGCCACCGCATCCATGAAGTAGCACCCGAGGCTATTCGTACCCGGGTCTATGATGATCATCGCATGGCCACAGGGACAACTCGGATCGGTTAACAAATCACACCAGCAGTCAGCGTCACCGCCGGTGCTGTTGATCGCAGTGCACATGTCCTGGATGGCTGCGTTCGGCCTTTCACAGATCCACATCAAAAACATGGCTTCGATGGGCGTGAGGTCCCCGACCGATTCCGTGTTGTTGCCTTCGGCGATACACTGTCCGTCGCTGCCGTTGAACAAGTGATGGCCCATGACCCAGCCTCGGCCTTCGCCGTCGGGGGTCTCGGTGGGGTTGCCGTTCGAGTCAACGCCGGCGGTCCAGGTGGTGCTGAGCCAGGCCGTGTTGTGGGCGTTTTGGGCGAGGCCGGGACTCCATGCGTAGTCAGTGAGGGTGTCGTTCCATGTCTTACGCAGATTGCTCATTTTGTCGAGGGCTGAGGCGCCGGAGGATCCAGTGCAGGGAGGTGAGTACCATGCGTCCCCATCGGTGGGGTTGCAGGCGCCGCTGGTGCTGCCTGAGGATTTGGGGGCGGAGGAGGAAGATGAGGCGGGGGGTGAGTCGACTGGGTTGGCCTGTATGACTATGGGGGCGGGTGGAGTGGAGGAGACGACGGGCGATGCGATGACTGGGGAAGGAGCTTCGGGAACAGCGGCCGCACTTGTCATAGGGAACGAAGGGCGCTCATGCAGCTGTCCTGCCTCGCCTGCCCAAGAGTAATGACCTCCCTGAGGAAAGGCGTAATCTGCCTTGACCTGAACGGCGGCGGCGGAGGTTGGAGCAAGAGGAGGTGCGGTCCCAACCACCTTGTTCTCGTTGATGAACTCTTGGACAAGAGTGTGAGGACCTTCTTGCCACTGGGAGTAGAAGACGACGTCTTTCTTCTCGTGGAGGTGTGCATGCTTGTGTTGAGGGAAAGCAAGGGCGCCAGCGCCGAGGAGGGTTGAGATGAGGACAGAAGTATGCATTTTGACGTCGTTCAGGGTACTTGTCAAGTAGGTGAAGTTAGGATCGTGAGGTTGTGTATGTTTTGCTTCCTAAGACAACCGAAGCAGCGGATAAAATGCAAGTCTTAAAGGTGTAAAAAAGGTCTGTAGTCTCACAAAGAATGTACTTTCGAAAGTATGATTGTAGCAAGAACCAAGCTCGCAAAGGTCAGAAGCGAATGAATGAGTGACTGTCTGTCCAAGCAGATGAAAGAACGAAATCTGCTTTTAACGACGATGAAAAGAAAGTAAAGGATCGGTAGAGAAGTGGGAGAGAAAAAACACAAGAGGAAGACTCAGGAGTTACCGAATGGATGGCAGTTGGGAGTGAGTGGAGCGGGGCTATAAGATGGGAGGGGCTTCATGTAACTAACGCAAGGCTCACCACACCACCAATAAATTCTTTCTGTGTTTCAGCGTTTCACAAACCCCTTGATTGATGCAAGGCAATAGACGCCGAGCCTTCTACCATGGCCGGTGAAAAACTATCGTATCTGATTGTAGTTACGCAATCGATTCCTCTGAATGCAGGGAGCCAGGGACTTGCGAGGACGCTCTCTCTCTCCTGAAATCGGTGATCCTGCATGCTCGATGCTGATAAAAGTGAAACATGAGCCTTGCTTCCTTCAATCATAGTATCATGGGGGCTCAATCACACTGACGCCGTAAAAGGATTTTGATGACTTTTCGCTTGGCGATTCATGGTTGAGGGCGAAGGATAGGAGGTGGCATAGAAGTTGAAGCAAAGATGGAAAGTCGTCGTAATCGCAATCCCCACGCAGGATGATCGCCCCTGTTTCGGGCCAGGTGGGGCGGCGGTTACGCCCGCTGCTAACCCCGGAGGTCGGCCAGACTGCGCAATACATACCAACATTCATACAGTCATGATGCTACCATGAGTCGACCACATATCCTACGAGGCATGAGTCTATCATCATATTGACTCCCCCGCTCTCTCTCTCTCTATTCACATTTTGATGCTTCCACGAGACAACACTTTTTGATGAAGGGATGGAATTCTACTCGTGCCACACGGGCACACGCACATGAACCGTAGCAGAATACTAAGGCGCGGGGTCCTTAGTGAATCCCCCTGTTTAATTATAATAAGAGGTCTGGCGGTCCACTGCATGGGTCCTTCAGCTTCTATTCTTACGTGCGACATCTTCTTTTTATGCCTTCGTGTCATTTTGGGCATGTTTTCCTCCTTCCGCTGCTCTGTCCGGGTTTGTCCAGCCCAGGAGTTCAGGACTTTCGCGGCCAACGTCGTCCGCCTCGGTCCATGACTCCTACAGCCTTGCCATGACTCCTACAGCCTTGCCATGACTCCTACAGCCTTGCCATGACTCCTACAGCCTTGCCATGGTTCCTACAGCCTTGACATAGTTCCTACAGCCTTGCCATGAAGGTGGTGTGGGGCGGTATGGATCCTGTCTAGACCTGCTTACTACTTTAGTATAACGAGAACTATGATTGGAAAGGTAGCTGCCGGCCCCCCAGTGGTGTGCTTGCTCCGCCTCCGCCATGGGCATGCGTTGGCACTTTGGCATCTCACACCCACTTTATTAGAATCAAGGGCGAGCAATATGAGATTCAAGAGAGGTTCCATCACCTTGTACATCTACTCTCTTTCCCAGTGCCAGCTGACAGGATCTTTCCAGTGTCACTGGTAATGCACCCATTGAGTTTCTTATTTAATTAAGAAGATTCATTCCGTCCATCATCGCCTTTGTTCTCGCATCGTTCTTTCTAGTCTCAGAATCTTCAAGCACATGGCTCCACTTGACTTTGACAAATCGGCCAATGTTGCGTCACTGGCGGGGACTTGGCTGGGAACTATTTTCACCGGTGTCGGCCTGCTTGCTGTATTGACCCAGCTTCGTAGCTTGCTGCTGTATGTGACTGCGGAGAACCGACGATGGAAAGAAAGGGCCGCTGGCGCGTGGGCAAGTTGCATTCTGATGGACCAGTTGCCCAGCAATGGGATCCAAGAAGGCGTAATTCCTACGTTTTCTGGCTGGCTACAGCATTTCTACTTGCAAGAGAAGACCATTGCCACATCGCAAGACGATCATGGAGTATGTGGGAAAAGTTCCTGGAGTAATCTCTTTGGTCGGATGGATATAAAGGCTGCTGATCTAGACGCATACGGTGGGTTGAGACCACAGCTAGCTCCAACGCGGAAACGTGTCATTTCGGGTCGTAACCTCTGGATCCGCCCTTTAAGGTCGGGACTCGGAGATGCGTTAGTTGAAAATGGGAGCATTTCCTACGGCTTCTCGGCGCCAGAGTTTGCAGCACTGATCATCCTTTGCGGTTTCCGTCCTGGAGACTTCGCGCCGCAGAGCTCACGACATTCGACGTCTTTCTATGGCCAGATGCGCGTCGCCGACTACGGACCGTTCTCGCAGATTGCGAATTTCGACTCTCATCATGGATTCCGTGACGCCATCAGGAGCGTTACGACGGGTATGCGTGACGTTCCCGTTGCTCACAGCCTTGACCTTGCGTTTGGTATGATTCCTATCGAGGGTCGTCACGGAAGGGGATGGGTAATTCCCCGTGAATGGAACACCGTGCCGGATATGCAGTTCCATAGGTCTTCGACGGAGGTCTGGAGTGGATATGCGTTGCCACAGCAACTCAAAACGATTCAGTACTCCTTTGAGCGCTTTGTAGGTACCGGAGAGCTGGCGGTTGCGGATTACGCGCAAAGGAATGACGTTTTTGAGGCCGATGATGTTCTGGTAATGGAAAATCTGATATCTTCGAGTGGACTTACTTCGGTAGCGCAATGGTCCGCTGGAAAATCTGGACCCAGGTCTGCAAACATAGCCAGGGAGCTGTTAAATGCTACGCATGCAATAACCGCCATTCAGCCTTGGGGTTTGTTGCCCGTCCTTCCAGAGCATATGGTGGTCGCTGTCAAATTGATTTTGGATCCTTTTTATAAGACGAGAGAATTCACGATTAGGGTCCTGCAACGTGAACTCGAGTTGATACCGGACAAGACGTTTCGGTCCGAGGGAAGAACTGGCGAGGAACTATCGCAATCGCTCAATCTCGTTACCGGCGATAAGGAACGTTTCTTCATTGACGAAAAACACAGCTTTCTGACCTCAACATACCATGAGGCGATGTCTATGGTCTTCCGACACAAGAACATCAAGCTGGAGGATATCAGAATCTCACTTGCTGCCGCCGTCGGATCGAAATTGTTCTGGCTCCGAGAGGGGGCGGAAGAAACCGAGCCTTTCCAGAGAAACGTGAGACTATACTTAGAGCGTTGCTATCTTCAGGCGGAGGAAACGGAAAAATCGCGCAATGCACCCGGGTGGGCTGTTGACATATATGCAAACTATCTTTGGGGCTGGATCACGGATTCCATACCTGCGGATCCAGAGTTGACTAACTATTTTCGAAGAAGGGTCTTTCTTGCCTAACACTGGATTGAAGACCCTGGCCAATAATCGTCACAGTGGGACTGTGGGTTAGTGGGTCGCATATGAGAGTCCAGACTGGAAAAGTCAAACAACAAGCTCTATTTATACTCGGTCCTTTACCAGCATTTGGCTATTCATTCGATGTATCTCTTTCAAAGCCATAATTGTCAAGTGGTGGGTCCCATGTATGGTGGAGAGGAGCTGGGAACCTTCATCTTGACAGGATGTGCCGGTTCAGATTTACTAACGCCGGCGTTGAGAGGGCCCGACCGCAGATAATGTCATTTGATTGTGCCTGTGTGCCTGTTCACTGTTTCCACATACGATTTGTGTTAGTCCAAATCAGCATATCACGCTCTCTCATACACATGTTGCACGCTGAGGGGCAACTAACTGATTTTGGGTGTTTGTACGAAGTTTTTTGCTTGCACTCGTGGGGTGTACTGCCCCAAGTCTACTTTCACTTGCTTCGTCCGGAGATATGAGAATATTACTACCGAGGAGCTAAGAGCTAGCTATGTGCGTACCTCGGCGCAGACAGAGCCGTCGATAGTTTGACTTTTTTTATGCTGCATTTATTCACAAACCTTATATCCTGTCTATGACTTCGCTTTTCGTTGCAAATTGTTGCTTCATAGTATTTGCTTGAAGCCTCTTCGCAACTTCAAACAAAAGACTCCTCACTCTTCGCCCTGGCCATGGTAGATCCCCCATCATCCTGCAAATTGTGCTCAGTCCTCTCGCTCTCGGCTTTCTCCAAGAAGCTAATGCCCCCCGGTATCCGGGCATTGGCCAGCTGCTCAAACCCAGATAGTTCCATGTCACTCTTACGACGTTCCGACGGCCATCTCATCGGCTTCTTCTCAATTTTCTGGTCGCTTTCGGGGTCAATCCCCAGGTCTGAGCGGCGTCCGTTGTTCTTCGCGGAAGAAGATGATGCAGTACGTCTGCTAGTCCAGCTGAGAGAAGGGAGGAAGTTGTCAAGTCCGGCGAAGAGAGGGGGCAAAGTGGTGAGGCAGGCACAGACGATGGCCATGGTGGGCTCGACTTGAGACCACATGTAGCATGTGACTACGGTATCTGTACCCACGTCAGGATACTAAAGCTCTGAAATTTGACATTCCGTACAGGTAAGATCCCCCCCTTTGACCAGTTTAATCGTAATGATGCGCATTAATCCGGCGACACAAACCCTGCCACGCTTTGTTAGCCACAGCAATTTTGCGAATCAACCAAGTCATTCCACTCACAATGTGCCCAAGGCGAAGGTGCCAGAAAGCCATATCTTCTGATGAGTCGCAAGTTTGAGGTTCCACACCATATAAAGCGGCATGCACAATATAACTAGATCGAGAGCCATGTTCGAGCCAGTGGTAGCAGCCCAGTAAGCCTTCAGATCGATACATTGGCTTGAGAAAATACTATCCGCATTGTACCTCTCGGCATCAGTGTGACATTGAAAAGCGAGGCAGAAAAGCGCTGCAATGAGCCAAGAAATGCACGCGATGCCGACTACCGTGGTTGCTCTTTTGAAGCTGGGGGTGGTGAAGATGCGGCGGTAGAGGAGTAGGATGGAGATCTTGACCATGGTGATGGTGAGAGTGTAGGTTATTAAAGATGCGTCGAGTGTCTAAAATGTACAAACGAGTCAGGAACTTCCCCAAGGAAAGGTTTCGAGGTTCGTCTTCCTACCTTCAAGAACGTTGCCATCTGGCTCTCAGTCAACGTGTCAGCATGGTGGCCACCTTTACCACTCGTAATCACTGTATTCGTCAGCATTGAATGGAAACGCTGGAGCATAGGACGAACTGATCGAGCCCACTGCCAGCATGCAATACGATGGGATCAAACTTGCGGCCATCCACCAGTCGTCGGCGCCGAATGTAGCTTTGCTCCTCCATCGTGCCACAAAGCGGAGGCATACCGCCAGGGTCGCGAGAATACCACACGCCACGGTCACGCGGACGACCTGGTCACGTCCTGAATTGTTGGTTTCCATGGTCGTAAGTACGATGAATTCGTTCGTTGTGTGGTCATCTATCCACTTCTCATCGAAACATTGTAACGGAAAGAGCAGACGCCAAGCGAAGCCCGACCGCACTGGGGCTAGGGGGACTCAACACATGCGTGGTGGAAACAGCGAGTGCCGAGGGGAACTCTGGCAATGAAAATCGATTTTGATCGATGCTTGGCGCTTGAACGTACCATAGTAGGTAGTCATTACCGCCCACCAAACTCACGGGTATTCGCATACAATAGCGCCGTCCTTCCAGGATTCCCGGGACGAACCCAAGCTGTCAAGCTATGACACTCAAGAACGGCCGTAGCGATTTTCGAACCCCCAGCCAACCAGGCGAGTATAAAAGGTCGAAAGAATGGCCAGCGCTAACGATAGAACGGACGTAGTTCCCAAAAGGGTGGCAGCGACGGTGGAGTTGCGGGAAGCCGCAGCCATCATCATCATCACCAAAGCGGCCCGTACTGTCACGGAGACCTTCCGTCAACGTTCCTGGAATCAAAGAGCCCAAAGCATAGTCGAAGAGGTTGAGTCATGATAGTCGTAATGAATTTGCACGCAAAGCACCGTCTACGCTGTTCTCCCGCCTTGCGATCAGCTATTTGGGAAGGGACAATGGAAAGAGGCCCAGATGGAAGGAGGGAATTTAAAAGAGGTGCAATATCAGAGGCTTTTATCGATTCCAGAATTCGGTCAATTTTATCGTTTGACTGTAATCGGTTGGTGCATCAATCCACGAGCTAATGCAGCATCTGCCCGCTGGATTGCAAATGGGCTCTTACTACCTACATCAGCTGCGCATTGACGAGACCCCAACGCAGGTTGCCGTCGGTACTCAATCCCCGCTCCGTGATGTAGCCCCGCTTCGGCCCTTTTCCACGTCATTCTTTCATGCCCGCTGTTCAAGCTAAAATACCTAGTCGAATTCGTCCGCTCATCGTCTAGGATACGACCCATGCTGATGAATTCCAGCGGGCCACTGACCGTCGACTCTGCGAGTTGAGGAAAACACACCGCAATATCCGACCGAGATGTAGAACATCGAGTCTTCCAACTACATGCTGTCGGTGCGCCGCCTCATACAGCGGTAGAGGACCGCATGTGGTGGTTAACCTCTACTCTTCGTGGGCTCCTCTCGTCCAAGGCGCCTTTTTGATCTCGAACTTTTAATCCTCGGCCCATTCTCTGTCGAGGCATTCATTGAGAAAGCAACGCCCGCGGGCGCAGATACGATCCGCATGGTAAGCGGGAGGACAGATCGAAGCGGCCTTGGTGGCTCGGCAATAGAGACGGCACAACAAGTGAGTCAATCGCTCGACTTGGTCATAGAAAGCGGGTATTGATCTGTTACTGACGGTGCCTTCCAGAGCCGCATGTGCTTGTGTTTAGAAACCCCAAAGACGCTCCATTGTGATTCCTCTGTCGATGGCCGTACCGTTCGGAGGGGTCCAGTTGCTCACGATGTCGGCTTTGCCTTTTGTTGCGGGATGGAACCGGGTATGATGACGCTTGCCCACTATGATGATAGCGATCTTGGGCATGTCTTCAGGATTGTCGAGATCTCCGCATGCGTTCTGTACTCCCTTGAGCTCTGTTTTCAAAACATCATCAGACTGGCCTTCAAATACCCCTGATGTATGAGTCTTGTATCAGCAATATATCTCAATCTTGTCTTTTACATCACTTACCATCGCGGTAGACGATTATTTCTCTGTGCTCACCCATTTGCGTTCTTGCTCATATAGACGTTCAAGCGCTCTTTCATCATCTCACGATGATCTTTGACAATTTCCTCTTTGCTTTCTTGACAACGCAGACTTCCAGGTAATCGACAAGACTTCGAATCGATACTTGCCACAACACTAGCGATACTTGGGACGCCGTCCATACTGCCAGGAGCCTGATGTGTCACATCAATGCCAACAAGCACAGTTCCCCCTTCTACGGATTTAGGTAAATCCAAATCTCTAGTGGTAAGAGCTTGGTTTATCCTGCCGCTTTTGACGTTGTATTTGAAGGCAATGCCAGCGCTGATGTCTGAGCTTCCTTTTTTGAACCTGGAGCTTGTGATGCAGATTGTACGAATACCTGCAAGTTGACACCAATGTGGCTCAAGATACCTTGGGTTGAATAGCAGACGCTCAGATCCAGCACCACTCATCCCACACAAGCCAACCGCGAACATAATCACCACCGCCTCCAGCCCTCGAGACCGCCGTGCCCCAACCGCCACCAACCATTTCCCCAAACTCCGCAAACGTGTCCGCCGTGCTCCGTAATTCGACCCCGAGGACCTGCTCCGCGGGCGAGCTGTCCGCGCCATACGCGTTTGCGGGCAAAGAGCTCGTGCTGGGGGTGCCCTCCGGGGTGCGGCTGGCCAGCGCCGGTAGATTATGGCGGAGGAGAGCCGAGATCTGCTGGCTGCCGATCTGGCCTTGGGAGACGATGAAGCGCCCATTTGAGGCTTGTGGGACGGTCGCGGCGCGGAGGTGGGCTGTGGCGATGTCCTGTGGTTTGATTTGATTGAACTTGGGATCTTTCGAGCAAATGCCGTTAAAGATGGGGATTTTTCGATCCGGTAGGTGAATGATGATGATGATGATGATGATGTAGAAGGAACCACTTACCTTCACGTCTACGTACAGGTAAAGTCCATTTGGCGGCAGCTCTACGGTTCGGGACGAACTGACAAAGAGAATCTAAATGCACGCGTTGGATTCGTTCAAATCTGCAAGGCTGGGGATGTGATGGGCCGGAGGTCCACAGATCATTGGCGGACACAAAGTGACCAGATCGAAAGCAGGTTTCTCTCATTCCACGTCGTTCCATGCTGGGAAACGCTGTCGTTAGGGCCTAAAGCATATAGGGATCAGATAATGCGATCTCGAAAAGACTGACCGGCTCTCTCAGCATACTTCTCGCTCGCCCTATATCCCACGCCCTTATCACCCTTCACAGCATCCTTCCCATGTCGAGGGATTCCAGTCACCCGCAGTATACATCCTGTCGTTATCGCCAGCGGCAAAATCAAACACAGCAGCACAACTACTCGCGACAACTACCCTCTTCACACTCGGCGCATGCGCCTTAACCGCTTTTCAGATCTCCTCAGTGCCTTGCTTAGCCTGGATAAGAAAATCTTTCAAGTTGTCCGAAACCGCTTCATAGAAAAAGGGGGAAGCGGTATAAATGACCAAGTCAATAGGGGGGTCAGCCTTGACAACAGCATCGAACGCACCGGGAGCGGTGATGTCGGGCACGATGCCGAATTCGAGATCTTGCCGGCTGGCTGCGGGATGGTCGGAACGCACCTGGTCGGCTTTGCTCTGGGAGCGGACTATAGCGCGGACCGAGAAGTTGGAGGCGAGGAGTTGAGAGAGGATGTGGGTTCCGAGGAAGCCGTTTGCGCCGGTGAGGAGGACGCGTTGGACCGTTGCTGTAACATAATTGTGGAATGCTTCTGGGCCTCGAGCCAGATAGTTGTGGAAATCAAGGAGCTAAGAATCCGAAAATGATCAAGGACATTGACGGAACGTGAAGGAATGAAATTGAGTATATAGTACATCGCCTACCCATGTGCATCGACCGTTTCGATGGGCCAGAAGTAAGGGGATCTGTAAGAAGCTGCAGCCGCGGAAGTAACACGATGACTGCACGTTGCTGGAACTTGCAGTGGGTCTATCGTACACACACGTGTTCGGAGACTCTACCCATTTGGAACATGATCAATGCAAGTCGACGCCTGGTCACTCGTGGCTATTTGCTACCGGGTTTTCTCTCATCGTGATGCATCTGGAGATGTATGTACATCAGAAGCTCAACGTGCAAGACGGTCGCCGAGCGAGCATGATGTGCTGATTCATATCGATAACTGATTCTTTCGCCGGCAAGGCCTAGCCTCCCCCTCTCTCGAACAGAACAGGCGGCCGGCATCGCTTTCGCCTTCCGTATGTGCCCAGTATGAATATAGCATCCGTCCATTCCCTTCAGAGAATCTTAAGCCCAGTCCCACAGATGTAATCGACACCCAGCCAAGAACCCTCGTTAACAACAACGCCTTCTTCTCAAGACAAAGGGATGGAATTTCTGACGAAAGCCTCAGGCGACTGCATAACTATGCACGCAGCAACAAAACGCAGCCACCAAACAACAACAACAACGACGACGACGAAGACTCCAGACGGAAAACCAACACCAATCAAAAACCGAGACGCCCACCAGGCCTTCACGACACGCCAAAACCCCGCCACGAATCCTATCCCACAGAGCAAGAAGACAAAGAGGCATACAAGCGGCCATGACGCCATATATACAGGCAGGGTATCAGCGACCGCATACCCAACGAAGCCACAACCACACCAACCCAACCCAAGCCCCCCATCCGAAACACACACACATACCGCAACGAGACCTTCTCAACAACGCCAGCACCATCCCCCCCCTGGTTCCTCCATTATACAAGAAAAACCTAAACATCAAAGTCTCAAACGCAAAGCGCGAACGCATATACATACAAACATTCATACATACATACAAACATACAAATAAAGCACCACATCCACCATCCACCATCCAACCCCCCGCGCCGCAAATGGACCAATCCCAACAACGTACTCGTACACACACATATACGCGCGTACCCACCCACCAGCCTGACTCGCCTCGGCTCTACTGTTCTAGTCGCCGAACCCACCACCCGTCACAAGCGAGCTTGGTGTCAAACCCCGTCAAACCCCGTCGCGCGTCACGGTTGAAAAGGGTGGGATGTGATGTGATGGGATGTGATACAAACATCCAAACAAACAAACAAATCAAACAAAGGACGAAACCAAAGACGAACAACCCCTCTGAGACATTCCGAGGAACCGGGGGCAGTATCCGGAACCGGGGCTGGCGAAAGTTTTTTTCATGTGTGGCAGGATTTTTGGCGACGGGGGTGGATCGCTAGGGGTAGGGGGCGGATGCTGCCTGCCTGCCGGGTTGAGGATTTCCGTGGGTGGACTTGCGACCTGTAAGGGATGTAGGCTGGGCTGGTTGGTTGGTGCCGGAGAGAGAAATGACCAGGGGGGGGTGCATGGAGATGGGCAAAGGAGCAGGGACGGAGGGGTTTCATGTCTGGTTTCAGGGCACACGCTGGTGACTCGGGGTAGCGTTCATGGAAGCATCGTTGGGGTAGGTATTGTTGGAGATTGCGTCTTTGTAGTACGGAGGAACGAAAAAGATGTGTGACGAGAGTAGGGCAGTAAGCGTGACGGGCAACTAGGGTATACTACTCGACTATTTACAGACGCGTACCTCCCATCGGTTTCCCCCTCTCCAAGACCAAACATGTGAAATCGATTCTCAAACGGCCACCTTTTCAACAACGGCAGTGTGGACATCCTCCGGTGCCACGTCCAGAGCGAGACCCTTGTGCGTGAGACCCATCTCCTCGGCGAAGGTGGAGTGGGGCTTCCAGGCGGCGGAGTGCCGGGCGTTCGTCTCTTCCATCATCTTGTCGACCTGTTCGAGGGAGAGACCTTTGGTTTCGGGCTGAGGAGTGACGTGTCAGCTTGTGCGGCATGCTCATGGGGAGAGTATGATAACTTACAACCAGGAAGTATGCATAGGCGGTGGAGACGCAGCAAAGGGAGCCCCAGAGGAAGAAGACCTTGGCGCCGAGGTTCGCGTCACCTTTGTTGGTACCGACCAAGTAAGGAGTGATGACGGCAATGATCTGTCATGGTCAGTATCAACGACATCACCTATTCGTAGATAAAGGCTCAAACTTACGCAATTCCAGAACCAATTGGACGAAGTAGAGATACCGACACCGCGGGATCGAATCGGAAGAGGGAAGATCTCTCCAACGACCACCCACGCACACGGGCCCCAGCTCGCGGCGAAGAAGGAGATGTTGAAGCAGATGAAGGCAATCATAGCCGAGACAGCAGCACTGTCATGTCTCGAGCTCTTGCCGGCGGTAACACCAATGATACCAACGATGAATTGCATGATGATCATCCCTGTGCCTCCGATGATGAGGATCTTGCGGCGACCGAAGCGTTCGACTGTCCAAAAGGAGATGGGAGTCGAGCAGACGTTGACGAGGGTCGTGATGAGGGAGATGAGGAAGGGGTTCTTGATCGTGCCGAGGGAGGTGAAGAAGACGGTTCCGAAGTAGAAGATGAAGTTGATACCGGTCAATTGCTGCATCATTTGCATGAGGATGCCTAGCACGTGGGTGTCAGTCGTTGCGCTTATCAAGAGAAGGCCATGGCGACTCACCAACTACCGTACGACGGATGTTGCTGTTGCCGTTTGTGATATTGCCGGAAAAGCAGTTGGTCCAGCTGCCTAGCCATGTGGTTTGTGGGATGATCTGTAACTCGTATTCGTGGTTGGCAATGATCTCAGCCAGCTCATCCTGGATAAAGTCGGAATCGATTGGCTGTCCACGGACTTTGGACAGAGCCAGCGCGGCAGACTCGAGCTTGCCCTTCTTGACAAAGTATCTAGGGGACTCTGGCAGGATGAAGAGACCAATGGCCAGGATGATAGCCCAGAGGAATTGGACAGCGATTGGGATTCGGTAAGAGCCGGTATCGTCGCGGTTTTGTGTTGCGTAGACAACACAATTGGCTAGGAGGATACCGATTGTAATACAGAATTGGTATCCTGCCACAACCGCACCACGGACAGCTTTTGGTGCGATTTCCTAGACAGTTTGTCAGGATCTTGGTGATACGGTGGGAGCTGGTTGGGGTTTTACTTACGGACATGTACAGGATGACAATGGCAGAGATGAAGCCGACACCAAGTCCGCAAATAACACGGCCAGCGCACATGACACCGAGGCCGGTGGAAGCAGTCTCGAGAATGCAACCAACGCTGAAAATGAAACAGCCCGAAATGATGGTGGTTCGACGTCCAACGAAGTCGGCAATGTCCCCGGCGATGAGAGCGCCGAAAAAGGTGCCGCAGGATAGAATCGAGGTGGTCAAAGACTGATCGCTTGCAGGCAAATGAAAAGCCTTGACAGCAGCGGCATCATTTGGGTCGGGGTAAGGCAGGCCGGTGTATTGACGGATGAAGTATTTCATGGCCAGAACACCACCCATCCAGCCGGTGTCGTAGCCGAAGAAGATACCACCAAAGGCCGCGAAGGCACAGATCAAGTAGGCCCTCATGGTGATGGGGGCCTCGAGGCGCGACGTGTCCGCCGTGCCAGTAATGACAACGGGTGCTACTCCTCCTCCAGGCATGATGGCGGTGATATTAGTTGGAAGTACCTTGGAGCGGTAAAAGTTTAGAGAGGTGAGGTACAGGAGAGATTGAGAAGGTCGACGCAGGGGGGCCGACGGTTCTTATTATTATATGTGTGTGGTGGACAAGACACTAAGGTACTTATTTATCAAACGCCTCCCGCACCCCGCATACTGCTAAGGGGGTAAGTAGTACAGTCAGTACCTTAAGAATTAATCCGTTGGTAGGCCGAAGAAAAGCCAAAGCGAGCGAGGTAACCTCGTCAAGGTGAAGTCCGTGATGACTGCCGCCGGTTGATCATGTGGTGCAACCATGATGATCAATTGGATGATCCACTCGTATCGCTAAGGTACTTTAGTATCGCCGACTGTAAAGTATCACTGCTTGACACCCTCGATACACGTGATACACGTGATACACGACGCACAGATGGATTCTGGCAGAGGTTGGGGGGGGGAAGTGTGGGTGGTAATTAATTTACATTTCACGCCCCGTTTTCTAGCTCGTACGGTATTGAGCTGTGATTGGATGTCAGCTGGTCTAGGTGCAGGAAGTAATTGGAAAAGTGAATGGTCGAGTCAGCAAAAGCCGACCTTCTAAAAGTCGAACCCCCGCGTCTAGCCCATTTCCCCGCTTCTTTTGGGTCACTAGCTCAAGGAGATAACATTGAATCCGGCCTTGTGAGTGGTGGAAATAATAAGCGCGCCGCAGCTGCTCGCAAGCCTTTGGAGCTTGATTTGCTACTTTCAAGAAGATCCAGACGCACGCATGACGGTTTTCTAGCTCCGTCTCTTCATCTGGACCGTCTCGTGTAAGATTCTACAATGCTGAGGGGCGTTGTCAGAACAGTAAATTGCACACCTGCCCTTTTGAATTCACTTCTTCCTGCTCATACGTAATAGGAAATGTGCCGACAGAAAAGAGAAAGATGAGTTTGGGCTCCCTTCGGAGAACGATGTGATTTCCTGGTTTCGAGCTTGGTCCCTGAACCCCGAATTTTAGCGCCCGTTTCGGCCATCTCCGCGATCTGCGTGGTTTGGTGATCTTGGCAGTCTTGGCGCTCGGTAAGCGTCGGGCAGGAAGTGGAGTGAACCTACATTACCTTAGTTTCTTTAGCTGTTGGGTGAAGCAGAGTCGCTGCAGGTCTGGGCCTTTGGTTTCCCCGGATTAACACCTTAACCCTATATGGAAAGTCAAATTGAAGATGGAAATGAAGTGAGGAAGGGTCCCAGCCTCTCCTTGACGCCAAACCCTTGCCTTTCAACCTCCTGCAGTCATTGGCCGATGAGAACCGACAGTGTATAAAGTAGAGTAGATCGTAAAGGGCCCAAGTCTCGAACAAATCGGCGATTGGTCGCCGAAGGATTACACCTTCCACGTGGTAAGATCCGACATCTGAACCCATGTCTGATTGTTGCTTTAATTGGCCGAACCGAAAAAAAAGTCGCGTGCTCGATGCTGGCTACAGACATGGAGACTTTAGCCATGCTTTTGGCTAATTCAAAGGCATGAAACGCCTCCGGAAAGTATACCCGAGTCAGAAGACGTGCAAAGGACCGGGAGAATGGAAACAATCAAAAGGGGCGACCTCGGCTTCATGTTCTGACTTGTCCCAGCTTTTGCGACGTGCTTCGAGACTGGTCGGACGGCAAAGTCAGCCAGTAATCCAATAGTGCGATGACGGTGTCCTTCCGAAATACGGGGTACCGCCATCCACGCTGACAGCCTGACAGTACTCAGCGACCCTTGCCTGCCGAGTACGAAGAGGACAAAGGATTTCAATGATAGCGGAATGAGAGCCCCTCATCCACTTCTAATTCATAGTGATGCTGCTGCTTGCAAATCTGCGCGACTGCAGAAGAAAGGTGAGACAAAATGGCAAAAGAAAGAGGAGCAACCGCTAGGAAGCATTCACCCACGTCGAAATGCCATTAAAAGTGCTCGTCACTGCCGCACTTTCTGTTCCTCCAACCTCCTTCGTCACCTCATGAACAGCCTCATATCCTGACCCATTCGTCGGCGAATGACCACCCTTTATTTTCTCATACTCCTTCACCACCCCAAGAAGCCTTCAGCAATGCGGCCTCTTTTCTGTCAGCACCTCTGTACCAAAAAAACGTCATGGCATAATTCGAGCGAACTTCAATCACGTCACGAGTAGCGAAGAGTGGACTGATAAACAAGACAAATGATAGCGAGCAACAGACAAACCAAACTACAAAATATCGAATACCGAATGCATACTCGGACCAGTCCCGAGCACCCAGCAGAGGAGCATTCATGGGTCAGGATCGAAATTGTATGTCAAGCACCCAGCAGTGATACTCCCTCCCATACCGTCGTTAGAGTAACCTGGAAACCTATCAGTGTTCAAGTTTGGACGGGGTCGTAGCAGCCAACTACTTACATGTCTCCCAAGCATTGTAAAGGAGCGTAGTGCAATTGAACTCGAGCGTTGTAGGTAGAGGGTACATGACGGTAGCATTGTCAACGGAGCAACCGGGTGTCGCAGTGACTGTCATGTTATATCCACTTTCGTCAAGTGTTGAACCCTGGTTGTGATTGTCTCCTTGGCTGCTTCCGTCTAGAATTCCGTTATCGCTCTGGATCACCGTCAGTAGCACATTCTTGTTGGCGCTGCAAAAGCCGTCGGTTTTTTGTTGGACCTGAGTAGCGTCATGGTAACTGCCTGTGGGACTCGGCCTGCAGCTAACAGGGGCGGGCGGACTGTTAGGAGTGCTCGATGCTGTTGTACTCGTTGGTGGGGCAGACGATGGGGGTGGAGGGGGACTTGTGGAAGTTGCTGGAGGAGTCGATGAGGGCAAACTTGTTGTGGAAGTCGTGGATGAAGCCACCGAGGACGAACTGCTCGTGGTGGTGGTAACAGTAGAGGAAAGCGTCGAGGACGGAATACTGGTGATAGCTGTGGATGGCACTGTGGATGAGACACTCGTGGAAGTCGGAGAGGTCGACGTGGATGAGACACCTGTGGGAGTTGAAGAAGAAGCCGCTGTGGACGAAGCGCTTGGGGATACTGATAGAGTCGCCGACAGTGAGCCGCTTAGCAAAGGGTTGGAACTCACTGGAGAGCTAGCAGAAGTGGCCAAGGTTGTCAAAGTCGGAGCTGTCGCTATTGATGATGCTGCATTAGACGCGGGCGTATCAGTAGCGGGTTGTCCATTGACGGGAACGGTGAGTATTTGACCGACGAACAGATCAGTGGCGATCACACCGGGGTTTGCGGCTTCGAGGGATTCCACGGAGATCCCAGCACTGTACGCAATGCCCAAGAAGGTGTCGCCGTCTTGAGCGGTGGTGGTGTTTGTTGCGAAAGAGCCTCGAGTAATGAGTGGGATTGTGAACAGCAAACGTACTACCAGGGCACTGCTGACAAGTGAGCGGCTGCGCATCTTGATGTAAAGGGCCGATCAGAGAGGAAAAGGGAAGCGAATCGATCGCTATGAGGGTGAATGCTGAGAACTGAACCACGATTTTTTTGATGGGATGTAATTGTTGGCACTGGGACAGTAAGGGTATGTATGATATTTATGCACAGATGGACCGAGTCTGTCGTGATGCTTGTGTTTGATTATGGCTCCTTATCTCGAATCGTCTCTTCCCAATCATAGCGAAACAAGAAAGAAATGGCATTGATACATGAGCTGAACGGGTTCGTCTATCTCTGATTGTTTATCCGTTCTCTTTATTGAGCTTTCTTGTTTTTCATTCATCGTAAAACAGGCGGCTTTATCATACTAGATGAATGTTTACGAGCACAAGGAAAGATAATGAATGGCAATAGAAAGGAAGAGTAGTGACTATACTGACAAAGAAGCTTGGGACAAAGTGCGCTGCCGCGGCGAAGCGCTTCCCGGAATTCCTCAAAGGACTTTGGGCTGGTTCTGAGAGCTCCGGTGGTCATATTCATGAATGGAGCCTGCGTAGCACCAATTCTGTGACCAGCAGACAGGATGTCATACTTCCTGCGAAGCAATCTGCGTGCTTGAAGCTAGGGCATTGTATCGCACCACAGCGACTTTGGAGGCTTACAGGTATCCAAGAATCACAGATAGCAGTATGGGACAGAGGAAGCGGCGCGGATGAATTGGCTTTCTGCTGCTTGCTCCGCTTCAAGTATATGGAAAATCCACCAGCTCCCATTCGAGCGGTGTTTTCTCATGGAGCCGGAAAAGGCGAGTTCTTGGCACTGGTCCGGCAAAAGATGCCTCGGTGCCAGAAGTGCCTAAACCTACGGTACAATACTTTATGGTGCCTAGTGGTGCTAAAGTGCTGAGTACTATACTACGCTGTCTTTTTGCAGGGCGTCAGATCAATCATGGTGGCCAAATGCTACTTATACAGCTGAAAGCCCCTCGCGTCACCAAGCTCATGCGCTCAGCAATCTTCCTCCGTGTTCTCAGTGACCGCATGTCTCGGTATGCGATATACGGTGGACCCGTATTAAGCCATGTATGCTCCATTACCAGGACCGGGCATGTAAATGTCGCTGATTGAGATAGGCCAGAAAGGGTAGCACAACATGATTCCACAATGTCACCGTCCTCGCCGTCTAATACCCAGAAGCTGTACCTCCAACGGTAGACCCAAGCATCGACAGGCACGCTGCCGACATGATCGAGGGGGCTATTGTCTTGCCTCTCGGAGGACCATGGTTTCCGTACGAGCAAGAGCGAACTCTTTTTTGCCTACGACTGGCCAGCCAATCCACATCCAATCCATACCATCTGTACTAAGCTTGCGAAGTGATCCCTTCAAGTGTCATGAATGAGAGGGCTAGGAAGCAAAACATTCTACAAAGACTTCGCTTAGCCGAGATTCTTGGCTCCCGCTTCACGGCGGCGATGGACTCGCAGGATGGCGATGAGGAGACCCTAGAAGGACCATGGCATTGCGAAGGTCTCATTGAACTCATTCACTGGCTACAGAAAGTCTACCCTCGCGACTAGAACCATCACCTGGTCCCATAATTTTTGAGGCGTCCGGAGAGTCGTGCCGCCCAGGTATCCGAATAAATATGGGTCGTCGTTCCAAACAGCTGGCCCTATGGCTATTGATTGCGCGAGATATTGCAAAGAATGCAGGGTATCATCCCAAACAGGTGGTCCTGCCGCTGATGTTACGCCAGATATGGCAAGCAATGCAGGGAGAACCGATGAACAGCCAAATAAAGCGGATTCTGATTTGATCGCGAAGCCTCTTATCAAGCGTCCAGTCCAGAATCTTGCATCATGGTCCCATGAACTGCCCTCAGGACACCCCACTCGCGATCTTGGTGCCGATCAAATGATCTCTACGCGCGATGCGAAGCCCCCGTGGGACAGCGCATGAGGGGCAGCTATCACCCAGCATAAATAACGCTCGAGACTGCATTTCTGGATGTAGCAACTCGATAGGCATCGCTGCCACGATGCTCGTGACCATTGTCTTGTTCGCCGTTGTGTTCACCTGCCTTGCCTGTGGTGCGAACATACGCGCTTTACCTGTCGCCCCTTCTTGCCTAAAGACTGGAGGACTTCAAAGCCAATCACATTTTGAATGTACTACATCCATTGACTGGGTTGGCGATGGTTATAACAATGAGGATTGCCGTGCCACAGTTCAACGCCTCTACACTGTTGAGGTAACAAAGCATCATGATACCGAATTCGAGTTTTTGTCACCCGGGGCAATGCCCTACACTTCGAATCCTGTAATGCAAACACCAAGGAGATACAGTGTCGGTCAGTCATGATCTGAGCTTCAGAAATTTCGCGCAGGCACTGACGGAGAGCCCGTCAGGCAAATGCACCCTTGCTATCGTCATGCTGGAGACCTTCCCTCGTGGCTCACTGCCTGGCCAAGATCCCCTCAGTCACCACGACTATACAGATACGGACCTTGCGTCTTTTCAGGACCTTTGGCTCGCTGCCGATTACATAGAGTTATGTTGTCTCGAGTTTCAGCACACCCCTGGTTGGGCGATCATTGGTGAGGCACTTCGTTGTCTCCTTTGGTGCCTACATGGTCTGACCAGCAACAGGGGAGCGTGACTCCATGGGTGTGTTTATATGGACTACCAACTCAGCTGAGGACCGAGAGGTTCCACAGGGAGCCCCCACGCTTCCCTTCTCGTCAAATCTCACGAGATTGCTTACTTCTGTAAACGAATCTGGAGTTCACATAATCCTGGATGACTGAAGTCGTTCAGAGTCTGAAGCCGTGCTAGCTTTCATCTTACTACATGGACAGTTGTGGGTCAAGCGCGTTGTCTGGTTCAATTGCAATCACATTCATGAAATACGATTCAAAGAACTAATCGTCTCGGGAGACATGCGAGTCGTAGTGCAGAGAGAATAAAAGCAGACTGAAGTTCTGCTTCTAGATGAGAGACCGTTGGAAGAAGCAAGTGTTACTCTTATGTGATAGTCATTCTGTCGCACTCTGAGTATCTGCTCTCATGTTCCCATGCATCATTTTCGTCTCTGAACTCACTGTCCTTCAATAATCTACCGCGATTTCAGTGACAAGACAAAAGGAATGATGCCTAAAACACGACCTTTGCCTCGAAATATATTCGCACGTTGAGAAGTTTGTCCAGGGGTCTGCAGACAGTCATGGCGGCAAGCGCCATCGCAACGGCGGTGTCCAAACACCAATCGCTTCGAGGACAGATGCGCTGCTAACCTCATCAACTGCTGTCACTTACTGATAAAATTGAATATATGTAGCAGCCCACAGCAGCACACTCGTAGGCTATCCTTTTTGGGTGCTTGGGGGGTAAGCCTGGAGACATGACCAGCTGCAAACATAGATCGACTTCTTCGCTTTCTGTTTGAACCGCCCCTAATGGCTGGATCCGGATTGTAGCAACCTCGGAAGCTCGATGATTGTGTCCGCCAATGAGGATAAACCCCTCTGTACTATACCGGAGACCAATGCTCCGCCACGCAACCCCCATCCTCATTACCATCAAGCCCTCAAGACTGTCAAGTCTAGTTCGACGAGTATTCAGCTCCATACTAGAGAATTATAGCGAAATTCGAAGACTCATGAGGAAGATGACAAATGTTGTTGCGATGAAGATGAGATATATACTGGCTGCGACACTAACTGGTCGCACGACCTGGACGAGGACAAGCTCGCACTATCTCTCAACGCGGCGGCAATAAAAGATCAGAATGGATGTTCGTCAGTGAGTCTCTCCCCTCAGTCTTTGCTTCGTAATATACCTCTGAGACGTGTACTCATCACGGTCGAACCGTCGGCCTAGATGGTTAACCAGATCACGAAACAAGTCTTCACCTGCGGAGATCACCTGCCAGATTGATGCACCGATCCCCCCAAAACTCGTCACTTTACCTGTACGAAAAGTGTTTTCGACGCGCTTGACCATTTTCGTTAACATCCTTTGACAGGAAGAGCCGACTCACTTTGATGAATACCCAAAAAAAAACATGCGCGAATGAAGATACAGGGAGCGTAGGGTGTGAGACGTGCGGCCGTCGGACTCACAGTTAAAAGAGGAAAATCAGAGCATTTGGGATGATTTCTTGAAAAGTGTCACTTTTACTTGGCGACGCGCCTGGACTGTAGGACTTCAACGGGTGCGATCCGAATTTCGACGCTTTGGATCCGGAGTCCTGGGGCGGATTGGCGGCGCGGTTGAAGTGGGCGGGGGAGGGTGGCGGATTCTGGGGAGTTGAGGGAAGGCGGGGGAGTCGTGAGTGGGAAGGGAAGGAGTTGGGGTCTGTTGAGGGGATATTGGTGGGGTTGAAGGGTTTTTGGAGGGAGTGAAGGGAATGCTTACGGGTGGAGGGCCCAGCTGAGTGAGTTATTCTCGGGAAGAGGATCCGTATCTGTGTAAGAGGATCGAGCAAGAGTGGTGCATCAAGGGGAGAAAAGAACCCTAGAGGCTTCTTCTTTTCCATGTTGACACACTTTGTGGGTATTAACCGTAAAAAGTTGACTGTTCGTCTCGGGGAATTCGGAATAACGGCCATTCGAAGCAGGGAAAAATTATTTTTCCTTCACTAAAAGGAACACTTATCTAGGGTTCATTCAGTTACAACTGTCATTTTCCCTTGGAGAGTACCCATCGAGACCCAGAAAACTTCAAGATTGAAAAGAAGCCAAATCGGTCAACGCGCCACACAGCGCAGCCCCGAAGTCGTGAAGGATGTGGTCGCAGACTACGTTTGCGACAAAGAGCCAGGATCGCACAGACACCTGAAGGCCGTCCTCAATCGCAGATACATGTTTCCACCCATTTGAAAAGCCATACTTTCCAGGACGGAGACGTGCGGGCTGCTTCACAATGCTGATTCCCCCCTGTATGCGGGAACGCTGCCGATTGGAAAGAACGGAAATGAAGGAGGCGCAGGATGAGTCTCCCAAAGTT